TGATTATAAAAATGTACAATGATGTAAATTATTTGATGAAGAACATCGAAGATTTATCTCAGTTCTTGATTTTTATTTTATTGGTGAAATTAGTGATCAGTTTAAAGTTTCACTTATTTATCTACCATATTTTTATGTTGGAACAAAACTTGGACGAGAAAATACTGTTTATGCTTATTTATCCAACCCAGGTCCAATAAAACGGCGTCGTAAACGGCCTGAAACGGCGATTAACGATGTAAAACGTCGATAAACGGCACCGTAATCCGTCATACCAGATTACGGAAGCAAAACCGGAAAAAACGACCGCTGTTTTCTAGCGATAGACGGTGGTCGTAATATGGTATGACGGATTACGGCGAAATAAGGCCAAAATTACTGCAGTAATGCGCCGTTTTATAGTCGTTTCAGGCCGGATACGACGCCGTTTCCGACGGCCGGAATGATCCACCTGGGAAATGATATTATAATCGATGTTTATGCTATGCATTATGAATATAATGATTTATATTAAAAATGGAAAAAAAATTTCGCTAATGCAGTAAAAAAAAAGATGATTTTAATGAAGTTAAAAGATGTAATAATTTAATTGTTATTTATGATTCACTATAATTTAGACATAAATGTATTTTAAATTCATTTTATGGTTATGTTATGCGAAGAGGTTTGTTCAAATTTGTACAAATATGAAATGCATTCATTGATAATTTAGATGCTCGTTGACATCGAATGGAAATGGGTGAAATTATATGTACGATTGGTTCAACAATTATTAAATGTACTCGAGAACTAATTGAACAAATTGGAAGACCTCTCGAACTTGATACGGTAAAATCGATGTTAATTTAACTAAACACAAACTTTCCAATTCTTATCTTTATAAAAGAGTAATGTTTAAGTCTAAACATGCACTGAAACCGATCGTTCAGGTTTCAGTTCGGTTTCAAAGTTCCGATTCGGTCATGTTAAGTCAATTCATCAACAGTAACAAAAAGAATTTGAGATTAGCTATAAGTATATACGTAATAAAATAAATGATTCAAAAAGTGACAGGTTAAAGGCACCCAAAAATTAAAAATATTCGAACTCGAACATAACCGAAGTTTCTGATTATTTCGAATATAGACTATATAGTCGAAGAAATACTTGGAAAATTACCTAGATGTTTGACACCGTCCGAAGTATACTTTTTTTATTTTACTTATTGAATATTTAGGATGGTATATGATGTGTATTACCTGCAACATTTCCTGAAAACTATGAATTAATTATACGTGATCCATCACGTCCAAAAGTAGTTATATCTTATCCATGTAATTTATTAAATTTACTTATAAAAGATTATTATACAAATGATCAATATCATGAATTAATTGATAAAGAAAAACATCTGTATGAAATTGGTTCAGAAAATTCGATTTTTGTTTTTAATTGATGATCCTTATTTAGTAATGATATTACCAGCATCAAAAGAAGAAGGAAAACCTATTAAAAAAACATTATTATGTATTTAATATGGATGCTACAATAGCTGAATTAAAAGATTTTGAAGTAAAACATAATGGTGAATTGCAATTAATAAAAATTTTTCAAGCAAGTATGATTGAAGCATTTCTTAAAGGAACAACACTTGACGAATGTTATAATCATGTTACAACAATTGCTGATTATTGACTTGATATGTTGCGAAAGATATATCAAATAAAGAATTATTTGAGTTAATATTCGAACGAAGAACCATGTCAAGAATGTTATCAGATTATGATGAAGAAAAATCAACATCAATATCGAGAACAAAAAGGTTTATTTAAATCTTTTAATAAGCTTTTAAAAATCTTCTTTTGTTTTTTTTCCTTAAGTTAGACTTATTGAATTTTTTAGTGAAGATGTTATTAAAGATAATGATCTTTGTTGTCGTTTTGTTATTGCTAATGTTTCACGTAATATACCAATATAATCCTGTTCCTCATGTTCCACATCCTGATTAGTTACATAAACGTTTAGTTGAGAATAATAGTTTATTTAAACCCAAACGTATAACCTGATGTATTTAATTCAATTGATAAACAAACTCATATAGATAATAATGAAGAATAATTAATTAATACAAATAATGATATTGAAGATCTACCTGGACAAATAAAATTTTCAATAACAATTATAAAAAAAACCATCAGCTAAACGTAAACATGATGAATTAAATGAAAAAACCTTAACACGTCAATGGAGAATTGTTCTTGGTCCATCATCATTCTTTGGTCAAACAAATAGTCAATATATTAAATGGCTTAATTATCAAAAACGTAAATAGAATATACAACATGAACAATCATCAAATATTTATGATAATTTTCAATTAACAACAAAACAAAAAGCTACATTCGATGGGAAAATTGATATATATATATGGGGTTGCCCAGTCTGACCGGATACCCCATTAATATTTTTTTATTGTAAGGATAAAACAT